CAAGCAGCAAGGATATACCAAAGCCACAGCTCAAGTCAAGGTTTTCCAGCTCATTCCTACTGCAAGGCATCACATATCTAATACAATATTTACTCAGCTATGAAGTATGGACTTCATATTTCTCTCACACACAGATACATACACCACTGCCTTACCAGTAGGTTCTGGCTTTTTCTCATCCAGCCTCTCTCCTACAACACTGCAATCACTAAGCTGTTTTGCTTCAATGTTCCTGAGCATTATGCTTTACACAGTACTCCCTCACTTAACTTCCCTCCTCTCACACCCTCATTTCTTTCAATCCAACAAAACTATCTCCCGCGTCTCTTCACCCCACCACTTCAACACTGAGTGCCAACTCTACATCCTCACCATCTTGTTTGTTACACTGTTGTTTTCCTGTATCTTGCGTGTTCTTTTATGTTGTAAGCCCATGGTCAACAACCCGTCAATCATGATCGGGAGGGCTCAACCAGTCGATCGTGAGGTTTCGAGGCCCCCATAATTCCCCCTACCCCCAAGAAGCCCCACTACCTACCTCCAAAAATGGAGGTAGTGCCAGCTTCTCGCGGGTGGAGGGAAGTCCGGCAGCTGTGCACCACTTATTTGCGTGTTCTTTTATGTTGTAAGCCCATGGTCAACAACCCGTCAATCATGATCGGGAGGGCTCAACCAGTCGATCGTGAGGTTTCGAGGCCCCCATAATTCCCCCTACCCCCAAGAAGCCCCACTACCTACCTCCAAAAATGGAGGTAGTGCCAGCTTCTCGCGGGTGGAGGGAAGTCCGGCAGCTGTGCACCACTTATGGGGTTTCTGGAAGTGCGCTGCCTGCTCCCCTCCTCCAGGTCTGTGGCGTGCCAGGAGGAGGTAGGAGTCCCTGAGGAAGACGTGTGCTGGGGTTTCGGGGGGGAGGGGAAGAGAGGAGAGGGGAAAGGAGGAGCGCACTGGGGCTCCCCTCCTCAAGGAAGGGGCGGGGCAGTAGATCTTGGCTTGTTGTGTCATTTAAAAAGTGATCTTGGGTGTGTAAAGGTTGGAGACCTCTGATTTGGGCATAGGCGTTTGTGCATCTGACGAAGTGGGCTGTTGCCCACGAAAGCTTGTATCCCAATAACTGTTAGTCTTTAAGGTGCCACAGGCCTGCTCCTTGTTTTGGTGATTTTTAGAGGGATGGGTGCCTTTCTGCTGGAGGAGGTTTGTTAGGGGTGCTGGGCACCCAGCCTCCCGCCCCAGCACCTACAAGCACCCTGTCCCCTGCTCCAGCACCCATTAACACTCTATCCAGCATCCTGTCCCCTGTCCAGGTACCCCCTGGCACCCTTCCCCAATACCATGTCCCGTGCTCCCACCAGCACAGTTGGGGCCACATTAGTGAGGTTTGTGGGGGTTTTGGAGGAGTTTTTATTTTGCATCTCACTTGTGTGGCCCCAACTGACTTTTCTGTGGGTCAGTGACCCCTGACTCAAAATAGGTTCCCTACTCTTCTCAGAAATAAAGAATGCAGAAAGTTTGTGTGTTTGACATAGTATTTTATTTAAAAATGAAGCCTGGCCAACAAACCCCTAATTGGGGCTAAGCCCTCATCTGCCCACAGCATCATAACACTACTGCACTCCCCCTTCCCACAGACCCTTGATCTGAGCCTATCATACACTGGAACCCCCTGCCCTGAGCCCCTCACATACCTTAACCCAAATTCCTGCACCCTCATATCCACAAGCCTGTGGTTTGCTTAGTACCCTAACCCTACATCTGACCCCAATACTGCATGGCCTGAAGCTCTCTCCCCGACGCAGCTTCCCCTTCTCCTCCACCTCCTGCATCCAGATTTCCTCTCAGAGCTTGCACCTCTCACCCCTTCCCACACCCAAATCCCTAATTCCCACCCCAGAGCGTACACATCCAGCCTCAACCCAGTGAGGGTACGGCTAGACTGCAGAAGTTTTTCAGATTTCCAGAGATATCCCAGAAAAACTCTTCTGCATCCAGGGATGCATTTGTTCTTCTGCTTTTTTCAGTGGAAGAGCAGACATGCTCTTTCGGTAACCCCTATATTCCTCATGGAAAGAGGAATAAGGGGGCTTCCAAAAGAAAGGATTTTTCTGACATTTGGTCCAAGACCAAATGTTGGAAAAACTTCTTCCTACAGAAGAATTGGGGGGAAAAAAGCAGCAGTATAAGGGTTGGGGATAGCAAGTGATGGAGAGGAGGAGAATAGAGAGGAAGGGGCGGGGCTGTACATCTTGGCTTGTTCTGTCATTTAAAAAGTGATCTTGGGTGTAAAAAGGTTGCAAAACATTCCTTCTTGATTGTTTATACATCACCCAATATTTCACTAGCATGCTATCACGGTATTGCACCCATCCCGAACTTCCACATCTAGGTGAAAGAAGGCAGGTGGTCATTTTAGCCATGACTGAGCCTAAAATAAGTAGGCAAAAAAACCTGAAATTTTAATACCAATAGATTTTCTGGACAACTATTCCTTTTCTTAAATGGTTATTTCTATAGCTAACCAAACAGTAATAGGAATCTCACCTACAGTCAAGACACAACCCAAACATGATTTCATCCCACAATCTTTCATACTTAGCTAGCTATTTATAAAGGTGACAGCTCCAAACAACATTAGGGACAAAATTCTTATGCTCACTTTTAAGGTAGTATGGTCTTACTCCTTCCTACCTGAAAAGCCACAGAATAAACTATGCTAGCTGACGGTTAGAGATACTGCTTTGTGGGATTCTCTTTTTTATAAACAAAGAGAAAAAAATGTATTCCTCAATACTAGATTGAGTTTAAATTCAAGTTATGCTATTTTCACTTGGATTCCTCTGTATTAGTTCTGATTTTAATACTTTGCAATGTTTGCATAAGGACTGCTACATAAGTGTAAGCAACTGATTTTTCCAAGAGTTCTTCATACATGAAATATTCCCTGTAAAATAAAACAACTTCAACAACAACAACATTAAAGTGATTGTTGCAAAAGAACATTCCTTTTTGGCAATATCATGATATTAAAGATAGAAGAAAAAGATTAGATTACATAGTTCATCCACTTGCTAATGCAGAAGCATTTCCTGTATTTCTCGTGGCACTCTGTACCTCAGAATACACCCCTGAACTCCCCTATTCATCACTGTCATGACATGTTTTATACAGAAGCGTGCCTCACGAGGTATCATTTTAATACTCTTGATGGGCTGAATATTAATATCCTGTTGGATTGTATGTGACGTTATTGAATTTTGCTATGTGTGTTACCAAAACATGTTGTAAGGTTGGGAATTCCCACAAGCAGCCTTTCAGGTACAACAGTGGAGTTCCCAAATATGCTGAGGGCTCATTAAAGGGAATCCACACTCCCAACAACCATCTCAGATTTCTCAGAGAGCACATAGATAATGAAAAATATTTGACCAACATGTCTGGAAAACAATGTCTTTGAATTGAGGGCAGGAGTCCTGGGCTGGAAGGCAGTTCTAGCCTGTGAACTGAAGATCTGTGATATCTTTGTATTAGGGATGTCAGCGACTAGTTGAGTAGACAAATACAGGAGGCCCCTGATTTGCGACTGCCTGAGTTTCCAACCCCCCGTACTTACAACTATTTTTGTAAATGCAGAAGGGGCCAGAAACACTTGACTTATGTCCTTGGCCCACATTTATGATGGAGCCCAGCACCTTTCGTCAACGAGGGTTCGAGTTACGATGTCCCCGACTCGTGACGCTTCCCAATTAGCCTAGGCTTATCAGGTAACTGAGTCACCACTACTTGACTACTCACTTCTGCCCCTTCCTTGCTGCCTTTGTATCCGAGGCAGCAAATGGGGGGGGAGGGGAGAGCAGGAGTCTGTGCCTGAAGATGGCAAGGGAGGCAGAGACACAGCAATCTGGGACCCCACATGAGCTGGAACTGCTGAGTCCCAGCTTGTGCCAGGTCTCAGACCTAACACAGCTGCAGCTCTGCAGTTTAAGTGTAGGAGGAGCTGGGCTGCCTTTGCACCCAGCTCCTACTGCATTTAAACTGCAAAGCCGCAATGGGGCCTCTTATTGACTAGTCATGTATTCTATACAAATTGTATCAAGTACATGATTAGTGATTTATCTGGTGCTTAACATTCTTACTTTGTATCATCTATCAGAGTGAGATACTACTTGATTAAAATCCTATTTATAGAACTCTGATTACCTAAGAATTAAAAGAAAATTTACAAACAGCTTTGATCTGTATGATTATTACTTATCACTTTCAATCTCTGTAGTAAATATTTTTAATCTAAAAATAAGCTGAGGTTTGTAGCTTGCCAACAAAATCACAGTGAGGGGGCCCAGGTGAGCGAGACGGAGGGCGCGGCAGTCCAGTCCAGGTTTCACCTATAGAACCATGTCGCATCTCTATAAATCCATAAAATAAAATTTCACATTACAGAGAAGGATTGAACACAAAAATACTATGAAATCTAGAAATGTAGTGGCCATATTCTATGAAGCAAGGCCTTTCAATAGCAAGAACCATATCAGTCTGCCTTTAAGTTCCCACATTGAATTACCTACAATTCTACATAAATGCACTACAGAAAAATAGAGGTTTACTGAAATGTAACTTACTTTTAAGTACAGTTTTTATTTTGGTCATCATTGGCTGCACACTTGTCTCTCCATCAGATGGATGGTCACTCTCTCCTCCATATTTCTCATCTATTCTTCTCTTTTTGGGAGCTCGAAGGCCCTCTTCCAGCAGAGCATCCACATCATTATCAAAATCATCCTGAAAGAGACATGGTCAGATACCATCCTTCTATAGCTACCACTGTCCCTTGCTCTGTCAAGAAAAGTTATACATGATTTATACATAGTTTGACTATGGAATTAGATGAAAGAATCCCCAATGCATGGAAGAGAGACTGAAAAACAAGGAGGTCAGTTTTTGTAAGTGGTCGCTGGATCAAGAACTGGTATTTCATGATAGTCTGAAAAAAACTGAATGACACCTACATACACAGGCAGCCCATAAAGAGTCTATTAAAATGTAGTACATCATAACAGAGATAAATTCAGCACCTTCTAAAGTCTTCTGTTGTATCATATTTTTATCATAAATAAACATTATTATAATTAATAAAAGAATAATTACATTCAATTTACTAAAGTTGTTTAAAATTGATAGAATTTTCTTCTGTTTAAGAATTTTAATAATTGTGTGTGTTTTGTCTTCAGGACTGCAAGCTCTTAAATGCTGTCTTTGTCACACATCTTTGCACAAAATTGTATAATCTCTTAGTAAAAATTATTTACATACCTCATAAGAGTAATTCAAGGTTTCTTCGTCCACTTTATCTCTTTGAACGATTGCTTTAGACGTGAACCCTCCTCCTTCTTCATCAATTTCCATCAAATTGTCAGTAAAATCTTCTAACTCATCCAGAACAGCATATTCCACTCTCTTTTCCTGATCAATATCATTGTCATCATCCTTCTTGTCATCATTTTCACCCCCTACACCTACAGCTTTACCATTACTACCACCAAAAGGACAAACATACAAATCACCATTGACATTATTAATACTAAAATCTGTATCTGGCTTATAAACTTGCTCAGCTCCAGTGTACAAAACTTTTCTGTCTTTGCTTTTGCAGCTTTCTGTAAAGCTAACACTAATTTTTACATCTTTAAGTAACTTAAGATCAGGGATGAACTTTCGAACTGAAGGTGCATGACGAGCAGTTCTTGGACTTTGGTCACTATTATTAGGATCTATTATAAGACGAGTTTTGTAGCAAGCAGATCCCTTTGTTAGAAGCTGTGTTCTGCAGACGGCGTGTGTGTCCCTAGCAGGTGTATCTGACTGTCCATCACCACCAGAGCCAACGTCCATTACCTCTGCATCACTGGACGTTTGCAGGGGAGGTGGTGGAGGCTGTTCATTAGGCGGCAGAGGTGGGGGACAAGTATGGTTCTCCACATTCATTTCTCTTGCAGGTTCTTTGGGAAGGGGAGGTACATTTTCAATTTTCTCCATATTTAAACTGTAAAACTACTGTTTTAAAAAAACAAGGCTTTAAGTAAACTTATATAAGCTATATCCTAACATGCAGAAGTCCATCAAGATAGGTTTATCATGTTCTATTCAATATGCAACACTGATGATTCAGTTAAGCTGACTACATTGTTCTTTTCATTAATGTAGACAGCTTTCAGAATCACTGTCTCAATTATTGGAAATCACAATGCATTCAGCTTAATAGCTGAAGACTAAGTAGAGTGCATCTTCACTGAATAAGCAGGTCTCCTTTTCTTCTTTCAACCTACAAAAAGAAAAAGGTATTTGTCACAGAAGAGCTTGAAAGCCAACTGTCCCATTCATCAGCACTGAAAATGGAATTCCTTCCCAAACTCTTAATTAAAAGGCTATTTACACTTGTATTTAACTTTCAAGTGGTTGTAATGCTCTTTTTACCAGAATTAACTGTTTCCATTGCTTCATTGTTTGTGCACAAAAATCCAATTGGTAACCACTGCTGTGTGACTTGCAGTGCAAAGCACTGATTTTTAAATGGGTAAGATAAAAACAGATGGTTTGACTATTAAGTATCATAGCAGAGTGCTACCTATATAATCAAAAGACAATTAGTTTGCAATACTAAAACAGTCAAATGTTAAGCCTTCATTATTTGACCATATTCTTAAACAGTATACAGGCTGAAACTCTTAATCAGGATTCTCTGGTCTGGTAATATCCTCCAGGATGTTGCAGGACCAGAAAGCCCCAGTAAAAGGCCAGCAGCAAAGATCCCTGCCAAGTTGGCAGGGCAATTGGCTGCCCATAGTGAGCAGGGCCACCCAGCACATGGCAGCAGGCTGCCCAGCAGCAGTGGCAGACCTGGCTGCCCAGAAGGTCCCTGAGCTCCAAGGCAGTGCACGGGGCTGTCCTGTGGGTCCCAGAGCTCCAAGGCGGCAATGGCTGCCCACTGGAGTCAGCAAGGCAGAGGCCAGCAGGAGATAGGAAGCCAGGCAGGAGGACAGCAGCCAGGCTGGGGGGCCAGTAGTAGGGGTCCAAAATGACCTTCCCCAGTCCTGCAAAACCTCTCATCTGGGACCAGTCAGGTCCCATGCGTGCCAGATCAGGGAGGTCCAACCTTTAGTTGATTATTTTCTTCCGTGTTCAACTCACTATCTGCAATATTTTTAAGAGTAGCTTATCAGAAATTAGTATCTCTGGATACTTTAACACAGAAAATTTGATCTACTAAAAGGTCAAGAGTAGAGCTTTCCTATGTAGGGATACAAGCAGCTGTGTGATCTTATATCCGTGACTATTAAAAGTCTCTTGAATTCCTCAGGCATGGCAGATATTTAAAACCTAAATCCACGGTACTAAACTGAAGTCTTGTAACCACTGCTATTAATTTTAAACTACTACTAGGCAAAGTTAACTGACAAACATTTAATTACTATGTAACTGAACATTGTTACAGCAAATAGGTTCTTAATACCATCTTACTTGTTTTTGTATATAACGTGGGGAGAGGGGAGATTAATTTTATTTCAGTTGTCTGTGCAGGGCCACAAGTACCTAGGGAAGAAGAGAGGCTCTTTTATGGTCATTTCTTACCTGCTAATCTGGTTTCTCCCAATCCCTTTGTGCCAGCCCTATAGTGCGTGTAATACCGACTACCAGCAGGAAATAAAGTAATGTTACTCTCCCACCCGTGAGAGTCAGCTGGCTGAGTCTGCTCTGTTCAAAATCTTCCCAGGCAGTAGTGAAATTATACCCACATATTTCAGAAACCTTAGTCAAGAGTACCACCACACAACATATGAAAAAACCGAGGCAAGATGTCTGGGTTGCCAGAGGCGGACTTAGAAAAAACAATTATAATTCTCTAATTATCTCTAAGCCAGATCAGGCTATGTGAATTTCAACTGCATACAAGCTACAAAACAGATAGGGCAGTAATTAAAGCATTCAAAATGTAATGGGTTACAACATGCTAGGCCTAAACACGTAGCGGTAGATAGAACACAAAAAAAAAAAAAGATTGAAGCTTTTCTTGGTCAAAAAGAACAGTTTTGAATGCAAAGTAACTGTGAAATGCATAGCACAGGGGTGGCCAACCTGCAGCTCGTCTCCCCAAAAAGAGCAGCTCAGGAAGCCGCTCCTGTGTCCCCTCAAAATGACACCTCTGCTCACCAGGGTGGTGATACAAAATGGTGCACAAAATGGCAGCCATTGACAGGCTCCTGATATGGCCAAAACCACCTAAGCTGTTTCTTAAAGGGGAAGCCTCTTTTTTGGGGGTGGGGCTCAACAATTCTGGTGCAGCTCTTTGCATTTTTTCTGCTGCTGTTTTGGCTCTCTTTGTTAAATGGTTTGGCCACCCCGGTATAGCACTAGACAGATGTGCCAAGCAACTAAACAACAAAAAACAAGATTTGAATATTAAAAATCAACTGTTATAACCTAATTAGGAAGGATCAAATAACGGGAGAAGTGAAAGAGTAAAAAAAAAAAAAAATTAACCTGTTTCCAAGTCACTGGCAACTTGAAAAAAAGCAACTGAATCTTTATTCAACATCTTAACGCTTAATTACATAATGGGATATTCAATTGAGTTGGCTACTGACTGCCAAATCAAACTAGGAAACAAGAGGTGCCCCACTTTATGATTAAGAAAAAAGCTGTGATCATCACGGACTTCAATCTGAATGACTTACTGAAAGTTTTATGCTTCCAGTACTAAAACATCCACCGCTTCTTGCGGCTTCTTTTACCTGCAAAGGACGAAACGGAGCCAATGGGAGCTGCGAGGCTCTGTGTTCGCGGCACCAGTAAACAAACAAACAGGAGCAGCCAGTTAATGTGTTTCTGAAAGTGATTTTGTGGAACACTTTCAGAAACACTGTTCTAGATGACAACCTCTTAACTCAAGAAACATTGTATCCAAGATAGAGGAATTTTATAAAAGATCTCATCTTCACAAAGAGAAGCTGAGAACAAAACTAAAAATTAGTGATCAACTACAGTACAAATGTGATCATGATCACATTTATTATATGTAACCAATGCAAATCCAAACCAGTAATATAGATAGCTGATGCTTTAAAAATATCCAGTTTCACAAAACTGAAAATGAGCCAAAACAATCGGAAGAAAGAATTTAAACAGAAAAGGTTAATTCCGAACTGTTTAAGAACATTTTATTAAATGTCCAAACAGCCATAATCCCACAAGTGAGACAGAAAGCAGCATGGTTAAAAATCCAACTTGGCTACTAAATACATATACATACAAATATGAACAAATAGAAGAAAGGAGAAGCTGAGTGTAATTAACATACATCAGAAGGTAGGGGTTGCAGAAAACTTAACTGAAAGCAAAGAACATAAGCAGAAATCTATGGACATCAGAATTAGAGAGGAGTTATTTGTTTTGTTTAGTCATAAAGAAACAAAAAGAATCCTAACACTGGTACTGGTCCATAACTAGATGGAAATGCAGAGATGGCAAATATGTTCAACAAATATCTGTTACGTTTTGGAAAAGGACAGCTACTGCAGATACAATTTCTTTTTAAAATCAGAGGTAGTTTCCAATAAGAATGTGATAGTATAACTGTTTAAATGGTTACCATAAGGGCTATATGCCAGCAGCTAGCTCTCAGGAGATAAGGGCCAGGAGCTGACAAACTTGACTCCTGGCATACATCAACTCCCAGGGAGCTGGCTGCCACCCCATGCTGCTGCCTCTATCAGCTGGAACTGGGACAGCAGGTGGGAGCTGACTCATGTTGCGAGCTGACTCTTAAGCTGGCTCCTAGCCCTGTTCCTAGAGAGCGGTCTCCCAAAAAGCCAGGCGCCACCTATGCAGGAAAGCTTATATTGCAGAGCTCACAGCATGTAACCACTAAGATTTTGAATGGTTACACAGTTACTTAACTTCTTTTTAACCTCCCTAGTTTTCAGTGGAGTCTTGCAAGAACTGGTTCTTTGCCCAGCAATCAGAAAGATTGGAGAAGTAGTAAATAATGAAGATGATCTAGAGTGCTCTAGATCAGTGTTTCTCAGCCAGTGGTACGAGTATCCTTTGGGGGTACTGGAGAGAAATCTGGGGAGGAGGGGAGTTATGTCAACACTGTTGAAATTTGGGAGAAAATGGAATGTTTAAGTTTTACAGTGTTTTATTATTTTTGTACTTTTTACACCCAAAAATTTCAGCGCCTGCCCAGCTACAATTAAGCTGTTTAAACAAAAGAGTTGCAATGACAGAAAAAAAAATTGTGGGCCTG